CGTTTTGTTTTGGGGAAAGTTGGGCTCTCGCTAGATAACTTTAAAGTAGAACAAAACCCTCAAACTGGGAGTTATAATATACAGTTCCAGCAAAACCCTAAACCCTAAACCCTAAACCCTAGTTTGTAAACCCTAAACCCTAATTTGTAGACCCTAAACCCTCGTCGCCGTTTTGTTTTGGGGAAAGTTGGGCTCTCGCTGGATAACTTTAAAGTAGAACAAAACCCTCAAACTGGGAGTTATAATATACAGTTCCAGCAAAACCCTAAACCCTAAACCCTAAACCCTAAACCCTAGTTTGTAAACCCTAAACCCTCGTCGCTGTTTTGGGTTGGGGGAAGGGGGGCTTTCTCTAGATAACTTTAAAGTTGAACAAAACCCTCAAACTGGGAGTTATAATATACAGTTTCAACAAAACCCTAAACCCTAAACCCTAATTCGTAAACCCTAAACCCTCGTCCCCGTTTTGGTTTAGGGAAAGGGGGGTTGTCGCTGGGTAAATTCAAAGTAGAACAAAACCCTGAACCCTAATTCGTAAACCCTAAACCCTAATTCATAAACCCTAAACCCCAATTCATAAACCCTAAACCCTAATTCATAAACCCTAAACCCTTATTCATAAACCCTAATCAGTAAAACCTGAGAGAGGAAGCTGTAGTATTCAATTGCATCAAAACCCTAAACCCTAACTGGTAAACCCTAAACCCTAATCGGCAACCCCTAAACCCTAATCCGTAAACCCTAAACCCTAGATCGTAAACCCTGGAAATATATTATAAAACAATACAGTTTAAACAAAACCCTAAACCCTAATTCATAAACCCTACACCCTAGCGTGCAACCCGATGAAGGGTTTAGGGTTTAGGGTTTAGATATTAGGGTTTAGAGTTTCCGTACCGACTAAACAGAAAACCCTAAACCCTAAACCCTTTGACAGCTGCTGCTGCAGCTGCAGCAGCAGCAACCGCTGCAGTAGCAGGAACAGCAGCAGCAGCAGCAGCAGCAGCAGCAGCAGCAGCAGCAGCAGCGGTTGTTTTAAACCCAGTTTGCTGCTGCAGCAGACAATTTTTTGCTGCTGCAGTTTTGCTGCTAGAGTTCTCCTGAAAACAAACTTGACGCTGCAGCAGCAGCAGCAGCAGCAGCAGCAGCAGCAGCTGCTGCTGCTGCTGCTGCTGTTGTAACCGCTGCTGGAACTGTTGTTCTTGCTTCTGCTGCTGGAACTACTAGTGCTGCTGCAACTGCTGCTGCTGCAACTGCTGCTGCTGCTGCAACTGCTGCTGCTGCTGCAACTGCTGCTGCTGCTGCGACTGCTGCTGTGACTACTGCTGCTGCAACTGCTGCTGCTGCTGCAACTGCTGCTGCTGCTGCTGCTGCTGCAAGTAGCAGAAAGCTCTCAAGGCCGTTACTACTGGTGTAGGCATCCCAAAAATGAATAAATTTGAGGTGTATAGGCAGCTCAGTTTCAGGTGTATCGGCAGCTCAAATTCAGGTGTATATACACCTCAGTTTCTGGTGTATATGCAGCTCAAATTCAGGTGTATATGCAGCTCAAATTCAGGTGTATATACAGCTCAGTTTCAGCTGTATATACAGGTCAGTGTGGGGTGTATATACACCTCAACTTCGGGTGTATATACACCCCAATTTCAGGTGTATATGCAGCTCAGTGTGGGGTGTATATACACCTCAGTTTAGGGTGTATATACACCTCATTTTCAGGTGTATATGCACCTTGATTTGGGGTGTATATGCAGCTCAGTGTGGGGTGTATAGGCACATTGATTTGGGGTGTATATGCAGCTCATCAGCTCATCTTCAGGTGTATATACACCTCCATTTGGGGTGTATATGCAGCTCAGTGTAGGGTGTATATGCACCTCAGTGTGGGGTGTATATGCACCTTGATTTCAGGTGTATAAACACCCCCATTTGGGGTGTATATGCACCTCCATTTGGGGTGTATACGCAGCTCAGTGTGGGGTGTATATACACCTCCATTTGGGGTGTATATGCAGCTCAGATTGGGGTGTATATGCAGCTCCGTTTGGGGTGTATATGGAGCTCAGTGTGGGGTGTATATGCACATTGATTTGGGGTGTATATGGAGCTCTGTTTGGGGTGTATATGCAGCTGAGTGTGGGGTGTATATGCAGCTCCGTTTGGGGTGTATATGGAGCTCAAGGGTTTGTTGTTTATGGTGAGGGTTTAACGCAGAGGTTTGCTGCAGTATCGATGATGAAGTCAGGCAGAATAACTTTACTCTGCTGCTGCTTCTCGC